TCATACACACAAAATGGATACTGTGGAAATATGTTCAAAGATTCCTTTTCAATATACAATACACAGTTCATTAAATGCTTACTGAATACCTATTGTGTGGCAGGGTATTCTGAAATGTGGAATAACTAGCATTTTAGTCTGTTGCTAAATATTTTAGTCTCAATTAGAACTTTCCACTTTTTTTTATTCATTCCACAAATATATTTAGTACAGTTTCTAGGTGCTTAGGAATATGTATGGGAGCCAAACTGACAGATCTCTGCCTCATGGAGAACAGGGAAGACAATGAACATAATAAATAAATAGATTATATAATACGTTAGAAGGTGTAGAGTGCTATAGAAAAATACAGAGCAAAGTAAAGTGGAATGGGAGTTCTAGGTTGAGATGTTGATGTTTTTTTGGTAGCATAGGTGCCACAGCTGGATATGAGAGTCTGGATCTCCCGGGAGAGAGATCTGGGTAGACATACATCTGAATGCCACCCTGGAGTCATGACATTGGGTGAGATCACTGAGGGGGTGAGTGTAGAAATAGAAGAGAAGAGGACCAAAGAGTGAGCTCTGGGAGAACCATCAAAGGACAATAAGAAGGAATAGCCAGTGAGTTAGGAGGAAACCCAGGAGGGTGAGATCCTAGAAACCAAGGAAGGAGTGATTCGTGTCAAATTCTGCTGATAGATCAAGTAAGATGGGAACTCAAAATATGACCACCTGATTTAGCCACATAGATATCACTAGTAACCTTGAGAACAGTTTGGTGTGGCAATTTAAAAATAATAGGCATTTTATTTTTAGATTCTGTTTTCATATGATTCATTACAAAATATTTTTATTTTTCTTCCTCTCACTGCCTACCACCTCATATTCAAGCAGATAATCCCTGTGGAATCACAATATATTTAAGGGCTTTGTAGTTTGATTACCTTGGTTTGGATTCTGGTTTTCGTTTCTTTTTTTCTCCTAGCTGTGGGTCCTTGGGCACATTTCTTTTTTTTTAAGATTTTTATTGGGGAATTGGGGGATGGGAACAGCGCTGGGGAATTGGAGGAAGGGGAACAGACANAGAGGGCAGTGTCACTGGCCCTCATATGTGGGATCCGAACCGGGGCCCTCTGGCGTCCCAAGCCAGCTCTTAACCAATGCGCCACTCGGCCGGCCCTTGTTCTCAATTTTAAAAGAGAAAAAGTCTTCTGGTGATGAGACAAGTGTTTAAAAGCATTTTTTATTTTATGACTAAAGAAGAATCTGGTTCTGGAAGGCTCATCGCTGCTGAATATTTCTCTCCTACTGCAGATTCTGAGGAGCATTAGAGAAGAACCGTTTCCCCAGAACCTGCTCAGGACCGACAAATTCAGGGACACTAGGCTCTTGGAATGAATGGGGCAGTGACAGGCTGAGATGTCAGCAAAGGGGACTTTCTATCATGGGGCTGAAGGTGGGAACCCTTCCCACCTGACACACTGGGTCTGTTTTCCCTTCGCTTTCTGCAGCCCTGTCTCCCTGACAGCTGCCCTGGCATTGGGCTCCCAGAGCCATCTGCCTGGATCATCTCTGCCATCACCCCGAGGCCTCGGCTCACTGAAGCTGACCATTCTGGGCCCAGTGTGTAGCGGGTGATGCTGTAGTTGTTAGCTGTGCTGTCTGCATGGGGGCTGGTACCTTGTCAGTAGGTGGTAGCAGCTACCCTGCAAGGACACCCTATCTCCATGATCTGAGCATTGATTCACTCTGTTCAGAGGGAGGCCTGGACAAAAAAGCCCCCACACTAGGAAAGCTACCATCTGGCTGGTGGGGACCAGCTGGCTTTGCTCCTCTGGAACAGTGTACTGTCACCTGGGCCCCAGAATAGGGCTCTTGGGAGTGATCTATCAATCAACAGCATAACGAGATCTCCTTTCTGAAGGCTATGGCTCCATCCAGCATTCCACACAAGGGCTGGCCACTGTGGGCCTCATACCTGACATGGCCCAGGACCTGGCCCTTCTCACACAGACCTGGAAAGGCTGCCAAGTGCAGTGACCACTTCCCTTGGCACTGCTTGGAGGCTGTTGGGCAGAGTGGAATCAGAGTTCTGGGGTCAATTTTCATTTCAGCCACTTGCTCTGTAGCCTTAGGCTAGATACTTAACCTCTCTGAGCTTAGAGTTTTCAGTTTCTCAGCTGTGGAAATGGGTATAATAATGTCCCCTCACAGGGTGGTTAAGATCCTGAAAAACTCCCACCTTGACAGAACCTTGCCTTCCTTCCACAACCCCACCCAGGGTTGCCATACATCTTCCAGAAGTCTGAGGCCTGAAGACAGGCTCTCCCCAAGCTCGAACCTACCTGGCCATCTTTGGCCAGTGGGCTGCCTGACGAATTCCATTGGAGCATAACATTTGTCAGCTGCTTCTCACTTAGGGTGACAGGTAGATAGGCCAGCACCTCGGCCCCTCACAGCCATCCTCTCCTCCTCACTCCAGCTCAGAACTGCTATGCCTGGGGCCCATAGGGCCCTCACTGGTCAGTGGCCTCCATGGGGTGGAAGCAGTCAGGTCAGGAGAGGGCAGCCTAAGTCCTCTGTCCACACAGCCTGAATCTGGGGCCCCTGCCAATCTCAGGGCCTGCACCCACCCTCTTAGGCTCTCTCCATTTATCCCCAACAAGCCTCAACGGCATCTGCAATGGCTACGCCTACAGCTCAGAGTTCAGACTTTCCATTTGTGCTCAAGGGCAGATCAGATGATTGTCAGCCACAAAGCAGTGACCTAGACCTTGGGGTATGTTTGCTCTTGCTGCAGGCTACCTTCTCTTCACTAGCTCACCAACACAGAAGGGGAAAATCATCATTGCAAGGACAAATCCCTCCCCAGCCACTGGCACTTTGCTTTTCCAATTCCCCAGGCTGTTCTACTAGAATTTTTTCTCAGCTAAACTCTTCTCTCACCTTCTCCTCCCTTCCCCATTGTGGCTGCTTCAAGGTTTCCAACCTTTTCACATCTTGGCACAATTAAATAACTTACCTGTAAGGCTTACTGAAGTAATTGCAGGGGCTGCTCCTGGCCAAGGGTAACTAGCCCAGGGAACCCCTGAATCCCATCTCAGGGCACTGTGCTCAGGAAACACTGGCTCAGAGAATAAACCTGTTATTGTAGGGTGTCACACTCGAATGAAGCTGGATGATTTATCTCCTCCAGTGCTCACACTGTGACAATTGGCAGGTTTCCTAGTTTGGACAGGTCTTTGGGTGCCCCTCTAGTGGCTAGGCTGGCTGGCCAGCCTGTCCAAGGTTTATTTTCTTCCCAGACACCCCCATGATCAGGCAGCAGGAGGAATCTGGCCCATCAGATAAGTAGCAATAACTGGCTTTGTACTCAAGGATACCATAGCTATACACCTTGCCCTGGGTTGCTCTTGTGATGAATGATTTGAGACCCTCCCCAGCACAAAGTTGAAGCATCTTGGTCTGGAAGCAGTGCCTTTAGCGGTCCGAGATAGAATGGGCTTTTTTTTTTTTTTTAAAGATTTTTAATGGGGAGTTGGCGGAAGGGAAACAGACAAGTTGCTGTCTTTTTGTTCTTCAGTCTAGTTGTGGAGACGTTGCTTCACTGGCCCAAGTTGGCACCATCACTGCGCTCTTCCCGGGTGAGGCAGATCAGTCGCCGGCTTCTGGACAGCCACTCAGGGTGGCTGCTGACTACATACGGTAGCCCATGGCAACCCAGTGCAGCAGGGGCTGCAGCCTACCCCGTCACTGGTGACTCACGGCAACCCAGCTCCAGGTTGAGCTGTTGTTCAGCATCTTAGCTGTACAGGGCAGTGTTATTGGCCCTCATATGTGGGATCCGAACCGGGCCCCTCTGGCATTCCAAACCAGCTCTTAATCAACACGCTACTCGACTGGCCCTGGGCATATTTTTTTTAGATGCTCTCTGCTAAGAGTTTAAGGGGGCAGAGACTGAGCAAGGCTAAGCGGTGAAAACCATCAGAAAGATGGTGATGGAGCACCATCAAAATAAGGTCAGTCAGGGAGGAAAGGTGAACACATCTGCAGCTATACACCTGCCCTCAAGCACCAAAACTGGTTCCTCCCTTCTGAATGAGGCCTGGCACTTTGGTCATCTTTGTCCTTTTCCGTTGCTCAGCTCAACCTTAAAGGCCACACCACTGGTACCTGAGTACCAACCACAAAGCTCTCCAGCCACCCACATTCATCCCCTTCTTCCCCCACCCTCACCTTACAGCTCCCTCCTGCCCTCTTAAGAACCACGCTACTTCCAACAGGTGCTTGGAAGAGGGTCCAAATTAGGGTACTCTCCCCTCTCCAATCTTTCCTACATACACATCATTCAATTTTCCTTATTATCCCCCTACTTCAAATATTCCTTACAACATACATTGGATCAAGTACCAATACTATAACAACCTGTGACTATTGTAATTTTGTGTCTCAGCCAACTTTACTTTCTCCAAGCAAAATCTTATTTGCCATTGTAGGTTTTGGCTAAATATGGAATATATCAGCACAATTCCAAGCTCTTCCCATGTGACTAATATTTTATTAAATACTGACAGCAATAGTTAAGGCACCCCGGCTATAATTTTAGCTCCACCATTTACTAACAATTTTACCTACCCCTTGCTATCACATGTGGTCACAGCAGACCAAGAGCATCAGCCAGAAGCTTGTTAAAACATGCAGTATCTGAAGTGCCACCTCAGACCTATAGATCTGGATCTGCATTTTAATAACCACAGGTGACTCACATCCACAGTGAAGTTTGAGAAGCATTGGCCCAATTTATCTGAGCCTGGGGCCTTACGTAAGAAATGATTTTATCACCAGTCATAAATTAAGGTCTAAGTAAAACAGACAAAACACTTAGCACAGTACACAGCACACAGAAGTCACCTGAAATGTTGATCAAGTGACTGGGTGGATCCTCTGCCAGCCTCCATCCCCAACTGGCCTTGACCAAGTGGGGAAAGTGTTTACTGGGATACAGAAGTCAGCCTGACATTCAAAATAATAACATCACTTTTATTGACAAATCAGGGACACAACGTACTTCACAGGACAACAAAAATAAGACAGTCCCAAGACACTGGAGTGTAAAATTGCAACAGACAGGTTAATACTCTTCACCCTCATCCTCTCCCTCAACACTATCTGCTCCAACCTCCTCATAATCCTTCTCAAGGGCAGCCATGTCCTCACGGGCCTCAGAAAACTCTCCTTCCTCCATGCCCTCACCCACGTACCAGTGAACAAAGGCACGCTTGGCATACATCAGGTCAAACTTGTGGTCCAGGCGCGCCCAGGCCTCAGCAACAGCTGTGGTGTTGCTCAGCATGCACACAGCTCGCTGTACTTTGGCCAGGTCTCCACCAGGTACCACAGTGGGAGGCTGGTAATTAATGCCAACCTTGAAGCCAGTGGGGCACCAGTCCACGAACTGGATGGTACGCTTGGTCTTGATGGTGGCAATGGCAGCATTGACATCTTTGGGAACCACATCACCACGGTACAACAGGCAGCAAGCCATGTATTTACCGTGGCGAGGGTCACATTTCACCATCTGGTTGGCTGGCTCAAAGCACGCATTGGTGATCTCTGCTACAGTAAGCTGCTCATGGTAGGCTTTCTCAGCAGAGATGACAGGGGCATATGTGGCCAGAGGGAAGTGGATGCGGGGGTAGGGCACCAGGTTGGTCTGGAATTCAGTCAGGTCAACATTCAGGGCTCCATCAAATCTGAGGGAAGCAGTGATGGAGGACACAATCTGGCTAATAAGGCGGTTAAGGTTAGTGTAGGTTGGGCGCTCAATATCGAGGTTTCTACGACAGATGTCGTAGATGGCCTCGTTGTCAACCATGAAGGCACAATCAGAGTGCTCCAGGGTGGTGTGGGTGGTGAGGATGGAGTTGTAGGGCTCAACTACAGCTGTGGAAACCTGGGGGGCTGGGTAAATGGAGAACTCCAGCTTGGATTTCTTGCCATAATCAACAGAGAGACGTTCCATCAGCAGAGAGGTGAACCCAGAACCAGTTCCCCCGCCAAAGCTGTGGAACACCAGGAAGCCCTGAAGACCTGTGCACTGGTCGGCCTGCAAAAGAAAAGGGTTTTTATTTTAGCCTTGGTGAAAGCAGCAATAATCCATAATTACAATGATCAAGATTTTTAAAATCTTTTGAATATTTGCTAAGAAAACAGTCATAAAAAGCCTCTAAAGTGCTAAGTGATTCAGAGAAACTTCACAATCAACTCCTAGCTGTGTGGGGGGCGACGGAGGAGGGAAGGGGGGGAGGGGAAGGGGTGGGAATCTGCTAAAAAGCTATTTAAAAATGAACTCCTTTCATTTATGCAGGCAGCAGAGCCATGAGGTCTGGAATGGATGCAGGGCCCCTTGTAGTGACTGGGAGGCCAACCTCTGGTGCCCTTGCTGTGACCACAGAACAAGGGCAACTTATCAGTTGGAGAGCTACCAAGAGCAGGCCTGGGACCACCAGCCCCGCACAATGGACGTTTTATAAAGATCTGGCAGCTGCTTCCTGGGCTGGAATACGACAGAACAGCCAAGCTCCAGTGCCCTGGTACCGGAGTCAGGCTGGGTCTGGATCCAGCTCCACTGGTTCCTCGCTGTGTGACTTTGACCAAATTCATTTCTCAATCTCAATTTTCTCCTTTAGTAAATGAGAACGGTAATCTACCTCAGGTTGTTGAGAATTAAATGAGTGTTTGGAACAGTGCTTGGCACAGTAAGCACGAGTTACCAGAAAGCCTATTTATTCCGGGAAAGGTGATTTCCTGTCACAGTTCCCTGAGACCTTATGTCACCGGTGCTTTCCACCACTTAATGGAGCTATTCTGGTTAGCAACCTGCAACTCTATGAAAGAATGATTTTGGGGCAGTTGGCTCAGTTGGTTCGAGCGCAGTGCTCATAACACCAAGGTTGCCGGTTCGATCCCCACATGGGCCACCGAGTTGTGCCCTCCACAGCTAGATTGAAACAACTACTTGACTTGAAGCTGATGGGTCCTGGAAAAAACACACTGCTCCCCAATAAAAATAAAATTAAATAAATAAATAAGATTTACTTTTAAAAAATGATTTTGACCTTTCAAAGTATTCTGTTGCCAACCCTCACTTCTCAAAGGTGCTCAGAGACTTGTGGACATTCTCTACCAAACCCTCAGCTCCCTTTTCCTGTGAGTCCACACACTGAATGAGAGCAATGTACAGGGAAGACCCTCGTCTACCAATCACATCCAATCAGCCTCATGAGACACCAGTAACACCAAGGAAAAATGCAATTGTTTTAGTAGTTAATTAACTTTCATTCCAGAACACTCAATGGCTTTTCCTAGGCTTATTTGTCCCTAAAGGCAGGTTCTGCTTTCCAAACAAGTGCTTGTAGCTGAAGCTTGACTTATAAACAGGAACCATTAGCCCAACTTTGCTGGGAAAACTATGATAAACACCTGGAAAGGTATGAAGCCATGAATGATGCAAGGCCCTTCTTTTTAGAATAGACCAGTTGTGGCTGGGCTTAGTATGTGCTTTTCCTAAGCTACTCTACCCCAGCCTTCATTCTTGATTTCTGGTTAATTACTTATAAGCTGCATACATATCTAAGAAGCAAGGAGTCAGCTGATTGTCAGACTCTTAATTAAAATGACTCAAACAAAACGCTTATCAACTTCACAGATGTGAATACAGTTGCCTGCCGGTCCACACTGCCCTGAGCTCTAGGAGAAAAGCAGGTCTACTGCTTTTTATATTTATATCTCAATGCCTTCCAAGTTTCAATGACTGATACTTGCTCCTGTAATAAAGGCGCTCCCCCGGCTCCACTGTCAACGTTGTTGGAAGTTTCCAGTGTTGGCCATTTCTAGTCAGTCTTATAGTGGCTTCTTGAGCTCTGAGATTTTTGTATTAACACAGGGTACCAGTCCAGATTTTTTTGTGTATGTGTGTGTCAGATCCAGCCAACTACTCACTCAGAGTGACGTAAGATAACCTAAAAAGGGATGTCTCAGCTTGAAGAAAGGTAGCTGACTGATTAATATGAATGAGGCTGATGAGTGGTCTTAAATGTTAGTATAACTGTTAAGGACCCCCTGTTCTCAGGTAAATTGTCCTCACTGAATGAGCAATTGCCCAAATCTGCCTTGTAAGACATAGAAATAAGCAAAAGAAAACTTACCCCTGCTCCCAAATAGTTGTTCCATTACCCAGGACTGTCTAGTTTGGAAGTCTAGTTATTTAGTGAGCAGTCTAAGGC